TGTGAGTTTCAAGCGGCAGGGTCCAGGATCCGAACCATGGGGGTCCGGCACCTTAACCACTACACTGCCTGCTGGCACTATTCCACACATTAGTAGTAGTTTTCTAAGTCCAGTATTGGTTTCTTAATCTTAGTTTTAATTAGTTTTTTAAAAATTATTTAAGTTTATTTGTTGTTATTATTATTATTATTTTAATTTACTATAGTGCGCATGTATTCACCAAAGAGAGAGAAAGTGAGAAAGCAAGCCACCAGGTCCAGGACTTGAACTGTGTAGACAGCCATGTGGGAGTCCAGCACCCCAACCACCACGCCACCTGCCAGCCCCAAAGTTGTCGTCGTCGTTTTTTATTTTTTAAACACTCACAAAATTCAATTCCTACCCACATTTCAAACGCTCAGTACCCACCTGAGGCTGGGGCGGTAATGGGCAGTGTCGCTTGCCAGCTGGACCCTGCTCTCTGACTTCATCTGCTGCGCTCTCCCTTGCCCTCCCTCCAGCTAGAACGGCCTCTGTTCTGACTGACAGGCACTGCCCGTCTCAGAGCCCTTGCCTGGAGAGTTTTGTCCCCGGCGGCTGCATGCCTTGCTCCTTCACCCTTTTCAGGTCTTTGCTCAAGTAGCACCTTCTTCTGGAAGCATTCCCTGACCAAACACTTTCCTGTCTGTGCCAGTCGCCTTTCGCCCTGGTTCTTACATTTCCAGGCTGCATCATGAAAGTAGAGCAAAGAGGGCTAAGAGGGGAAGGTGCCTGATCTGCGAAGGAAAGCCGTGAAATACCAAAATTGCCCCTCTCGTAGGCAGATGAGTGTTAGGCAAAAGCAGAGTCCCGAAAGAGGAGTAAGTGGCTGTACCCTTCAGAAGCTCACCCTCTAAGCAGCTTAGAGAGTAATTTCTGTGTATAGACTCACCCCATATGTATGTAAACTCCTTAATGCTCTGCCTTCACATCCTCTTGCACCGCCTTGGGCATCCAGCGTACAACTTGGACCAAAAGGCAGTCTGAAATCACCGTTACTCTGCCCTTTTGGACTCAGGTTCTGTGGTTGCCCATGTACACTCCATTATTTTTCAGTGCTGGTATATTTGCTGATGGTAACTTTAAACACACACACACACACACACACACACACACACACACACACAGAGGCAAAAGGTGTAGCCTTGTGGGAGACATGGGGGACAATAAAATCAAAACTCAGTCCAGGGTGGAGAAAGGCTAAGGTCTGACGTGTTCCAAGGACTTACTGTGTAAGAAAGCCGGGAAAGCACACACACTCAAATGGAGCGGCGAAACGCACCTGTCTGCAGATGGGAATGCTCTTATCAAGGTCCGGTCCTAGCATTCTCTCGCGATGTATCTGTGCAGTTGCTTGTTGACTCGACAACCTCACAAGTGGGTAAAGATCGTAGGACACCTCATTGGTAAACCAAGAGACTGGGATAGATAAATACTAAACACCCCTCTAACTCGGATCCTGTTATTTTGAGCAAAACAGACCCTGTTGGCAGGTGCTTTCATGGAACCCTCAAGGGCATGAGGATTTTCATCACTGTTGCTTGTTTGCTTCCTCCATTGGTTCTTTACAGTAGGCACACATGCTGAGAGCAGGGGTTCGAGTCGCTCATGAGGGTATTTTAGTAGAAAGTACAGAATCTGAACATATGCTTTGAGTTTGGTTATTTATATTATCAGGAAACTAAACTTTATATACAGTTCTCTAGAGTTACTTCTGGTGACTAGAAAGTTTAAGTTGACATTATTTCTTGGCAGTGAACTGTTTTACGGACTTGGGGTTCTGATAAACTGGAAAAATGATTTCTTCCCTATGTTAATTTATTGCTAATATATAAGTACGTAAACATATTTTAGCAGGCATCAGAAAGTGCAAGGGATAGAAATCCCTTTTCTCTGGTTCTTGTGTGTGTGTGTGTGTATATATAACATTAAATGTTGAACATTAAAGAAGTACTATGTGGTTAAAATAACTATAAGACATAGCATGGTCCAGCAAGATGCTGGACTCGCCCATGGCCAATTGAGGTTTGGTCCTGGACCTGATAGTTTGAGGATCATCTGGGTGCATATGCGCGTGTGTCCAAAATCCCAGGAGATGGGAGAAGAAGGGAGGAGAAGGGATTGTGGCATGACCATCCCCCCAGGGGGTGATCTCTCACTTTCCCTCTCACTGGCTCTCCCTCTGGCTTTCTCTCCTGTGAGCGCAGGCACCCTACAACAAAAACCTTAAATAAATAATAATAATAAAACAAACCCCACAATACAAATAAAAGGAGGTAAGTGTTTCCCCTTGTGGTTTATATTCTAACCCTCTGCTTCTACCCAGTCTTGAGCAGTTCAGGCTAGATAGCACTCTTGGATCTTTAAATCACCCTAATTCTTAATTGTTTTAATTTATAGAAAATGTGCCCATTTCTTTATTTTCTTTCTTATTTTTTAATTATGCCTACCCTCTAGCAGTAAAGCTCCTCTGCATCAGCCTGAGGGTCTTCTCATGCACCTAGACTATCCCTTAAAGACTGTCCGTGAAGTCGCCCTCACTCT